GGCCTACAACAAGGAGACAAATGATGACGAGCTCCGTACTAACCTAGACCTGGTGGAAGAAGTACGAGACCTGGCATACATCCAGACTGCAGCTTACCAACAGAGAGTAGCTTGGTACTATAACGCCTGGGTTAAGAAGCGACACTTCCACGTCGACGACCTGGTCCTTTGGAAGGTTATGGTACCTGAGCCCAGTGTCGGTAAGCTCAGACCAAATTGGGAAGGTCCGTACTGAGTAAGACGGGTATATGGGGAAGGTATGTACGAGCTCGAGATTTTGAAAGGGAAGCAAGTACCTCGAGCGTGGAACATCGACAACCTAAGAAGATACTGCTTGTGATCACCAAGCTGGAGAGAGGACTGCGAGTCACTCCTAGGGGTCCAAGGGCCATGATGGCGAGTTGATATAAGACCTTGGCACTACGATAAGTCCCAGTCGCCTCTTCGGCATGGGCGGATAAGTCCCAGTCGCCTCTTCAGCATGGGCAAATAAGTACCAGTCGCCTCTTCGGCATAAAGTCCTAGTCGCCTCTTCAGCATAGGCAAATCGGTTTTCATGCCCAAGGCATAGATATCTCGGGTACAAACCCTACGACGTCTAGCTCACCTCTACAGATAACAACAGGTTGATCCCATTTGAGGTCAGGCCCAACAGCTCGGCACTAAGGGATAAATAACACCTAAGCGAGTAGCCTGTGTGTAGACAGGTCGGGTATATACCCTACAATGTCCGCCCACCTCGGCGTACAATAATGCGAAGTTAACCCTACTCGGAGTCCATCTTGTTATCTTGATAGTTCGGGGTAACCAACACTTGGAAAAAATCTACTTCGGTTATCCCTACTCGTAGTCCAGCTCGTTAGCTTGATAGTTTGGGGCAACCAACATTGACAATTTTTGCTCCTATGTGGTTTAGTTTGCCAGTTCGGGAGTTGTTTACACTTAGAAAATTTTGCACAAAGAGTTAAAATGCTTATATTTCATTGGTGTAAAGTTTGAGTACAAAAAAAAAGAAACTTCCACTATAAACCGAGCTCGAGGCTCGGGGTATACAGTATAGAGGATCAAGAGGCTTCTAGTCATCTCGGGGCTCCTCGTCCTTGTCCAAGGCTTCGGCAAGAGGGTCCGTCTTCATGCAGCTCTCACCAGCACCGGTCTCCTCGATGTCATCGAGCATGTCACTGTCGCTTTCTGCTTTGGAGTCCGGATCTTCAGCAGCTTCGGCGGCCATTTCCTTTGTGATCCTCGAGGTAGTAATGGTACTAAGATCGAGCTGAGGGAACTCATGCCGGGTCAACCACCTACTAAGCTTGAAGCCTTTGCGGTAGCTCGCTGTCCCCACCTCGATCATCTCCTTCCGGTACTTCGTCGAAGTCTTGTATTCCTTGATGGCCTTGACCTTGGCCTCCTCCACTACTTGAAGGATTATCTCAGTCTGCTCCTTTACGTGAGCCTCGAGGTTCTCCACCTCCCTCTTCAGCTCTGCCTTCTGCTCCGCGAGCTCCTTCTTCTTGGACATCAGCAGCGTGATCAACTCTTTCTTAGCCCGCACATCCTTTTTCAGTTGGTTGTTTTCGCTACGGGCTAAGTTAAGCTCGGTGTAAGCCTCACAGGAAGACTCCTCGACTACAAGGGCCCGCTTCAAATTCACCTCGGACTGATAAGTCAAGGCGTGGATAGCGGAGTTCACCTGCCAAGAGAAGAGAACGAGTGTCAGTACATGAGAAGCTAAGTACAAGATCAAAGAAGTCAGAAACTTACCACCATGCAGTGGGTTGCCGCTCGGGCTCTGAGCTGAGCGACCGGAAGTTCGACCCAGCCAGCAACCTCCTCGGCGTACACTGCGCTTTTGCTCTTGAGAAGGCTGTATTTCGGAGTTAGAATGCTCTGAGCTGCGTCATCGTTGCCTGAAGAAGCGGCAACTGTAGGGGTGGGGAGAGCTTCTTGGATTCCTCCTCGACCAAGCCAATCATGGGAGGTTGCTCGGCGGACGATGGCTGCTCGGGCTTTGTAATGGCAGCTGGCGGAGACTCAACGCGAGCTCTTTTCGAAGCTTGCTTCTTCTTCCCCTTCTTCATACTCCCGAAGAGTTCAGTCATGGGGATGTCCATGATAGCTGCAACCAAAGCACAGTTAGAAACAATACCAAGATAAAGCAAAGGAAATACAACAAATGGCGACCTACTAGGACTCAGACCGGCCTGCACGAGCTTCTCCTCGGTCACATAGTCCACGAACTTCAAGCCAAGCTCCGCCCAAGATCGGAGCGCCTCCCTTGTCTTCAGGTCCAACCTGACACCGGGGTCTTGGATGGCCGCCCTCCAATGGGTCGGGAAAGGCCACCCCTCAGTGTTGCGGACCACAAAGTAACGCCTTTTCCAGGTCGGGACCTTGTTCGGGAGCTCGTGCAAGAGTTTGTAGCCCAGACGTGGTGACAGGTAGTAAGTTCGCCTGTGTTCGGGTAGAACATAGGATGGGTTCTTTTTAATAGAGAGGATGGAGAAGAAGATGTCGAGGTCGAGAGGAAGGTTGTAGTCGTGAAAAAGGGAGATTGTTCCTACTACATTACGGATGGAGTTCGGGTGCAACTGGTCTATGGTTATGTTGAACAACTTGATGACTTCGACTATCAAGGGGTGAAGTGGAAGACGAAGATCAGCTACGAGCTGTTCCTCAAAGCTTACCTAGGGGGATATTGAAGACGAAGACCAACTGGTCTATGGTTATGTTCGTCGTGACCGTGCTCCCAAGGGAAGTTACCTAGGGGGATACTGTAGACTAAGTTGTTTGGAAGCTTATATCGGGCTACTAGGGGCAGGAGCCTGTCCGTCGTCATTGTCGACGGGCCAAAGTTATCTGGCACCCGACCTCGATGCGAGGTGGAAGCCAGGTCACCAGAGGCCTCTCGCTCCCCCGGGATGAGTCCACCTCGGGAGGACCGCGGACCGCATCCTGACCCGAAGTAACTTCCTCGGCAGGACGAAGACCGCATCTGGGCCAAAGTTATCTGCCTCGGCTTAAAGCTCACCTCGGTGCAGGGCCACCTCGGCGCAAGTCTCACCTCGGCATCGAGGCACCTCAGTATTCAAGCTAGTTTGGAACTAAAAAACCGAAGTACCAGTTCGAAACCAACAACTTGAATCGCCACGTAACTGACTCCCGCGTAACCAACTCCATAAGTCTCTCCAACGGATCTCGAATCTCTCGAGATCACGATGAGCTAATAGATCTCGACTTTTCCGAGATTACGATGATGACTTATCCTAACTCTGCCGGAATCGGAAGTGGAACGAGATAAGCCTTACCTGTATACTTCTCCTTCGGAAGCGGAGCAAACTCTATCTCCACACCCCGGATATCCCGGAGCTCTTTCGTGTGCCCCACAACTACTCCAGTATATAATGGCACCAACCCCAATGGCGCAAGATACACGTGACTTTTCTACTCTCTAGCTCTCTAAGCTTTCTAAGCTCTCAATTCAGCTCGCATCAGATTACTGACTTAAGCATCGGAGCGACCTCGCCGGATTAGCCACCCTAGGTTCTCTGATCTTGTCTTGTAGATTCACTTAGCTCGCTGTCCGATTAGATGCCAGATCATCCTTCAGTAGGGAGTAGTCAGATCGCGTAACATTAGAAGGGTTCTCAAATGATTCAAACTCATCACGCTCTAAATTCCACGCTTCCATCTGATTTATTCTTTGCAACTTTTTTCATAGCGAATTCATTTGGAATCGGTCTAAAATTTACATTGAACCGTGATTCAGTGACTCTTATATGATGTAAATATTATATTGATAAAATTGATATGAAATTTTACATTTGATAAGACTTTACATCCATGACATAAAAGTCCATTCTATCAAATGAACATAAAACTGAAATGAAGTGGAGTTTTACGTTAATTATGATTAGACACTCTTCCAAACATTGACAAAACCGAATCGGCATAAATAGTTGATCATAGTGATTTTGAGAGGTTTGGAGATGGATGAGAGAGTAAGTGTAAACACATTTAGCAATAATGATATTGTTGATCTCAAGAGTAGGGATGCTCACAGTTCGGTTAATCGAATCGTAGGGTATTTTTTAGAATTGAACCGATATTATTGATTTTTGGAAAATTGATAATCAGAACCGAACCGAAGTTAATTGGTTAATCAGTCGACCAATTTGGTTAACCGTTGATTCGGTTCATCGGTTTTTTGGTTTTTTATTTTTACAATATATTATAAAAAATAATAAAAATTATAAATATATATAAAATATTATATTTTAAATAATACATAATATATAATATATTATAAATATATATATATAATATTTATTAATTTATAATATATAAAATATATGTAATATATGTAATATATGTAAATATATATAAAATATATATATATATATATACCGATCGATTTGATTAACTGCCAGTTTTCTATATTGATTAATAGAAACCGTTTTTTAAAAACACCGAATCAAAATCGAACCGATCGATTCGGTTTCGGTTGGTTCGATTTTTCGATTTTTTTCTCACCCCTACAGAGTAGCGATTCTGGTAGAAGGGTATTCCTCACTCGAGTCATGACTTTGTTGAAGAATCGGCATCCAGTTACGGAAGGAGGGGTCCAAAAGCGAGAGCAGAGGCAGAAACGAGCGGAAGGGTCTCTCCGGTTATTAGGTTTGAGATTGAGACATATCGAATTTTTTAACTTCGGACTTCAGAGGTTTAACCGCCAACAGGAAACGACAGTAGAGAGTAGACGGTAAATGGGATTCCAGGCGGCAAACCGGCCAGTATTGACGACCGTAACGCCATTATACAAAACCCTAACCCGGAGAGGACAAACCAAACCGACCAGTCTTCAGAAATCAGAACTCAGAAGTCTCCTAAACCGTAAGAAAAGCCGGTAATAAGAGGTGGTTAGACCAGAGTCAGCAGACAAGGGACATGCCCGTCATTGCAAGCAATCGGAAGTGGCAATTTATCTGACATTAACAATTATCTCAGAACAGAAAAGAGAGAGAAGGTTCTGAGGGAGCTCTAGAGTTTGACCAACTGAATTCCACGTTCCCACCACAAGTCAGTAGCCCACCACCCACCCTGTCTTTGGTTCGCGATCTGGCGTTGAAGTTCGTTATAGGCTCTTTCTTCTTGAGGGTTGATCTCGGAAAAGCCTTGTTGTTTCTTCCCGGAGACATCAACATGCACGATTTTTGCTTTACGATCCCATATGGGTTGATTTTGATGGCCGGAGGTGTCGTTGCTTACGCTCGGAAGGGAAGTGTAGCTTCTTTAGGTGGCGGACTAGGTGCAGGAGTGCTGCTCCTTCTTGCTGGGTTTTTGAGTCTGAAAGCTTTCGAGAAGCGAAAGAATTCTTATTTCGCCTTGATCCTTGAGACGGGTATGGTTCTCCATTGTTCATAGTTTGTTTGGTCATTCACCTAGCTTCTTTCCTTATTTTTTGAGGTTACGTTTTTACATCCTAGTACAAGTTTGCTGGGTTTAGATTCTTTTTTTTTTTTTTGGGCACGAAGATTCCAATTGCAAATGAATTTACAAAAGTTGTACTGGGTTTATGTAGATAGAGATTCTAATCGGATTTATTCTCCTTTAGTCGAGTTCTTTTTTCTTGAAAAGCATGGTCCTAAGAGTACGATGTTCTCAACTGTGAACTGGAAAATACTCCATACTTTTGGAATCTAACTGAAAAATACTGCACATTTTTCTTTTGTATCCATTTGATTGATTTTCATTTATACAATTTAAGATGCTGTTGCTAATTTGGGTGGTTTAATCCCTGGAAGTTGTATCTTTTTTTTTTTTTTTTTTTTGTGTGTGTCCACACTGCTGATTAACATGGTGGTGACTATTCGATTACAGATCTGATTTGACAGGTTGTAACAGGAACATTTTCCTTCCAATCTGTCCTTGCTTGAACTTTTAAGGAATTTCTGATATATGATTCAAGGAAATTAAGTGTTTGGATTTGGTTACTGGCAGCTTGGTACTTGATAATCTTGAATCGGTGTTGTTCTATGTTGAGGGTCCTGGTCTTCCCTTTCAACAATAGAAGGGGATTAAATTAAATTGACTATAAAAAATAGAAAAAAAAAGAAGTGAATTAAGTTCTTTTCTGGCGTGTTAATTTCCAATAAAAATGACGTTTTTGTCTGTTCCAGCACTCTCTGAGCATACACCTGTGCTGACTTTACTAGATCAATCTCAATACTTTTTGACAATGCAAATTCCCTGAGCATTTTGATTCTTTTTAACCGTTTGTTAAGATATTAAAATGGGTTCATAGTTATCAAGGCATCTAAGCGCTTCTGGGCAACACTGGGGCGCCTAGTCGCCTAGTCACCTAGGTGGGCACCTAGGCGATAAAAATTTTATGATATAAAAATCTGACTTTTGGCTAGTTTCCTAGTTTTATATACCATTCAGCATATACGTTAATTGAAAAAATAGCGATTCTCTTTATTAAGAACATTAAATTTCGTCTAAAAATGTGGCAAATCGTCACATCTAAAAGATAAAAATCTTTTACATATATTAATTTCATTATTTTCAAAAATAATACTACTATAATAAGTATTTAATAGAGAGAATTCATATTAATTTGCAGCTAAAGATGGTTATCAACTTTATATGATAAATATTCAAGATGGAAAGTAAAATAGAAAAAAAAAACAAGGATGGAGTTTCTGTTTTATTTAATTAGAGAGAGAGAGAGAATAGAAAAAATAACTTTATTATTCTATTATTTCTTTCCTCTTTATTTTCTTTCTTTTTCTCTTCTCAAAACCCTTTGATCTTTTAAATTTCAATAGTAAAACATTAAAACAAAGTATAATTGATATATATAGCATATAATAAAATGTATTAACACATACATTAATAAGATACCACAATATAAATGATATTATAAAAGGTGCCCGCCTTGTCTTTTTTGTCGCCTAGGCGGGCGCCTAGTCACCTAGAAGGGCACCTAGTTGCTAAAAGTCGAGGCATTTGGGTGAGGCGCCCAGAATGGGTTACAAAGTAGGTGTTTGGCATCGGTGCTGGGAATATCACACCATTTTCTCATAAAATTGGTGCTGGGTATGTGGAGTTGTAAGCACCTATTTTTTGTTTGGAACAGGTGCTGCGGCATTTTCTAAGAAAACAACACTGGTTTTGTTTGGTACCAGTGCTAGCAGCAACGTTTTCGACATTGATCTATATTATCCAACGTCCAAGATGATGCCACATTGATGCCACATCATTGCACCACTGGCAGCAACGCGTTTTCTCAGAAAACATTGAATTTGGCGTTGCTCCAGATCACACTTTCCCGATTACCAAGGCGTGGTCTGGAGCAACGTTTTTTATGGAAAAATGGTACCAAACAAGAGGGCGTTGTTTGAAGCACTGCTTTCTCTGATGTGGCGCCTACGTGGTTTTCATCAATGCCAAACATCACCAAAGTTGTTTACAGTTATTTTGGAGCATCAATCTCTGGTGCCTTTTGTTGGTTAAACTTGTGTTGTTGAATGATTAGCCAGTTTAGCACAACAGAGATACATCTGACAGAAAATAGCTTCAGGCTTTTAATACTTCATTCCTATCCATTTTATGGAGATAAGAAGGTCTGATCATCCCCTCTGGGTTTTTCAGGCTGGATGTGGACTGCTAAATTGAAAGGGACATCATGCTGTGGGCATGTGTAGAAATAAATAATCACAAATGAGCGTCAGCCACAGAAAGTGAACTATGGCTCCCATATTCAGTGCTATAATGATCTAAGAGAACACTATTTTTCTATTTTTAGTTATATTTCTATGTAACTTATGGGAATTCATTTAGCTGCAATTGAGATACTACAGAAGGTATCATTTGAAGCCATTTGACACCCAGCATTTGCAATTTAATTCCCTCTTGACACTACATATGGTGTATTAGTTGCAGCTAAAAGCTGCCTTTTGGGCATATGTTGACATGACCTCTATTTTATCATTGCCAACATGTTCTTTTTGCATCTCATTCTGTTTTACACTCACTGGCTCTTAACTTGATGCATTATCTATGAAACAGCTTGTGCATTTGCGCTAACATTCGTTATGGGACAGCGGTATGTGCAAACCTCCAAAATAATGCCGGCTGGAATTGTAGCAGCAATTAGGTAATTTTACCTTTACCTGTTCAGAAACTTCATCTTTTGGATGTTTTTTTTTTCTTCTTTTTTACATCCCTAATGAAACTATTTTTTTTATCTAGTTTAAGTTTAAGTTTAACTTGCTACATTATTTATGATGTGTTTCATTTAACTCAAAGTTTACACTCATTATGGGGGCATTCTACACGTGAATTGTTTTTCTTGTTGCCAGTTCCAAAAATAACTCAAAACCATCTGATTTGAAAACAGATTGTTTCTTAAAACAAAAACACAAAAAACATGTTCTTGGTTGTGCGTGTTTTTTGTTTTCAAAACTGAAATAAAAAACATGTTCTTGAATCCAGTTTTAAAAACATGTTTTCATCCGATTATTTAACATCATATTCCATAATTCATATAATTTCCAACAACAAATGAAAACAAAAACATTCATGTTGTAGAATGCCCCCTATATGTTTTGTTTCATTGAACTCAAAGCTGATTCCCTACGTGTTATTTATTTATTCTATGTACATCAATTATTCCTTTATCTAATTGATGGTTCTTTGCCATGTAATCATCCCAATATTTACATTTTTTCTGCATTAGGCATATTTTGTATGGGTGTCAGCATGTAGAAGCAAATGTCTCTGTGTTCATGAGTGAGTGTTATGGGCCCGAGAATAGGATCTCGTCACGGGTCGGTCCACGGGGAAAACCTCATATTTTCCCTTGTTCCTCCCTGCTCTTGATGAACCTATCTTGGCGCCTTAATGGTGATTTGTCCAAGAGATCACCTAACTCTCCTTGCTCTCTTTCTTGACTGAAATTTTCTATACCTTTATTGAATAATATCAGCTCCTTAAATAGGAGATTACAAGAGGTAGAATCTTACTTTTAGGAGGACTCCTTGCTAATCTACTACTCTATCCTATTAACTGATAAGATAAGACTGAACTGATAAGATAAGATAAGACTCCCTACTAATCCATACTACTGAATTGATAAGATAAGAACACTGACTGCTACTGAAAGCAGATAAGGTAAGAATACTGAATAGATAAGATAGGATGAGAACACTAAATTGCTGCTGCTGAGAACACTAAATTACTGCTGCTGTTGCACTAAATTACTGCTAATGCTGCCGGTGCCCACATCAGTGAGCTTCACTTCACTGCTTCAGTGTCCATTCTAGCATGTTTTCCATGCAAATGGAGGCATGCATGCATGCATTTGACGTGCAGATGTGTGGTTCCTTGTACATTCAGTTTTATGTGTGTTGGACAGCAGTTACCTCAACTTTTTGTTCATATTTTTTGTTCTTTTAAATCCTTCAAAGTTTAAATTTCATATAATTGTACTTGACTATTTTCTTTAGCAAAGATCTATATAAACAGAGGTTCATTTTATGTATGAAATGTTCTCATTTTACCAATTATAGCTAGGTCACCTAAGAAAATCAGCCTTTCGCTGCATCTATGGAACCAATAAGAACCAGCTTGCAACTAGTTTACTTAAAAAACCAATTTGCGGTTGGCCTCTTAAAAAACGAGTTTGCACCATTTACTTTTTCCTTCTGGCTGTCATTCATTTTCTAAGATCATCTCAACTGATGCAATATATTGGATGGTTGCAAGAATCCAACTGCATTGGTGTTTGACTAATGGATCTGGATTCCATGCATGTGCATTGTGCACTACATTACAATGTATGCCATAGACTGCCCTTCTGGTAAAAAACATGCAATTAGATTTCAACAAGACAATTTGATCAGTTCCAACATTTGGCCTATCAGACTCCCCCTACTGCCCAAAAAAAAAATCCATCACACATCTGTAGTTTTTTTAATGGGGATATTTTCAAGGTTGACATTGCTTAAACAAAGCTGCTGATAATGCTATATAATTGTTTTTGAGTACTTAGCATTTTCCCTAGTTTCCAACCTAAAGCTTATGTTGGTGTTCCAAAGATACTTCTATTTAGATCAAGTGCTGCACTTGAAGAGTATACAAATTCTAAAAATTAACTTATTAATATATTATTGGATATGCGTGTTAGGATCATGAGATTGGTATATGAATTTTGGCAGGAAGACATTATGTGTGAATATCATCTTACACAGGCATTATAGTTCAATGTGAAGATCTATGTGTGGAGAAAGAGTTGTGGTCATGCTTTATCAGGCTGCATGTCAACTTTTTTGCAGCTCATATTCTGTTGAAAACTTTTCAAAGTTTTCAATCTTCTGATGGTGTGGAATAAAAGGAAACTTGGCTTTCTTACATAATCATATTGTAGTGAAGTGGAATGAATATTGGTACATATCTGACTACATACTGATGATGAAAATCCAGTTTCTCAAGAAACATAGAAAAAGAATAAAAATGGACATCCATATTTTTGTGCCTATCCAACAAAGCAAAATCTTTATTTCGCATAACATGGTAAGCTAAGAAAATTGAATTCGGATTAGTTTAAACACAAGCACATGCATGTGCACAGACAAATAAACTAGACTAGTAAATTAAGGCTTTTTTTTTTATAACGACAAGAAAAAATTTATTAAAAGAAACAAGGTATTACAAGAAATTGGGTGATAAGGTATCACCCTACAAAGAAACCCCAAAAATTCACCCACATTGCACCCTCAAACATAAGATCAAATTGATCACCCCCTCTAACAACTCTACAAGCTTCAGATAACCTCACAGAACCAAGAAACCTTAACATGCCTAACAATAACACCAGAACTTGCCTACAATAATACTATCACCTACCAACACTGATTAATCTCCTACTTCAATATTTCATCTCCAACACCATCCTTGTCATCAACTTCTCCAATTCCAGAAAAGTTCTTCTTGCAAACTCCTCACCACCTTAAAAGAAAAGCCCTAATGTTTTGCTTATTTGGACTCAATTATCAATTTTTTTCCACTTACAACATTTTCTCTATTGGCCTCTCTTGATCATGATTTTCAATGCCATCCTCCACTAACTGCCTTGATTATTCTGCATTCCACCTCGTTCTCCACCCCAAATCTGCTATATCATCACTCTTTCTCCAGATGAGCAACAGAAAACCTCTCCTTATCTGCCTTTCCCAAAGAATGCTTCCGTTTTTTTACTTTTTGAGTCTTAGATTTAATTTCCATTCCGTTTTTCTTGTGCGCCTTTTTAAATTTGTTGCAAGGACCAACCCTAACCAAGCCTTTGTTTAACGTGAGATCACCTTGGTAACATGAACAATATGACAATTGCTTGTGCCCTTAGATTTCTTCCAAGTAGCTAAACCTTCCCCAAACTCAATTTTAATATTCTGTTCCCTCCTCCAGCCCATATCTATGCCTAAGTCACCTACTGGAAGTTCATCAAAAAACTTCCCGTTGCAACCTACTAAAGAGCCCATCTTAAGTATTAACATCTATTATTTCCCTGGAATCTTCAAAATCCTTCCCTTGAGGGCCACAATTGACTTCCACCTCTAAGACACCCTTCCCCTTTACAGATTCAAATTTTGAAGAGGAATCAACTTTCTCTCTCTTAGCCGATCCCATATAGTTGGGATAAAGCATGGATGATGATGATGATGAATCAACTTTACCTCTCTCAATACTACCTTCTCACTACTGTCAATACCTGAGCTTTGTGAGTTTTCTCCAGTTCGCATAAATGGAACCACCTCCAGAACCTTATATACTCCCTCATGTACATTGCCATCCTCTTCTTCACAACCTATCTTCTCTTTGGTTTCTTGAACAAATCTCATAATGACTCACTCCCAAGTCCCAAGCCTCTTGGTCTGATTTTTTCCATCTTTTCTCCATCAAATTCTTTAAACCCCATGTTGTTTCGATGATTATTCTAATGTACACAGGAGTGTTCCTCATAGAGCCTGGTTTTCGTAAGAGTAAATAATTTTACCTCATTTTCTGAGCTAGAATCACCACCTGCATTCTTCTGATACAATTGTTCTCTAATAAATGAAAAGGGATATACTGATCCACTATAAACAATTTTATCTTCAGGTTGACTGCTTTGAAATTGTTGTTTATTTATTGGTTGGTCCTCTTGCAGAATTGTATTATCCTTCCCATTTCATGAGGTAGTTGAATTATTCATGAACTTTTCTGCACACTTATTGCTTGTTCTTTTCTTCTGTAGTGCTCTCATGACTGGGTTCTATCTATACAAGATAGCAACTGGTGGCAACCACATCCCATCCAAGGCCGAGTGAGGTTGAACAATTTCTTGTAATTTGAATTCCGGTGTTGTATTGGGTCACCTGTATCATGTCTGCTCTGGGTAATCATTTGAGTCAATGTGGTTCTGAGTTCTGACTTCAGCCTCGTGTGTTACTAAAGATGTACTTTGGGAATATAAATATGGACTTCTTCAGTAGCAACAATGAACCGGAAATGCTGACATAATTGTTCAATGGAGCAAAACTGTGGTTTTTTCTTAATTGTTTTGTTAAAATCTTGGCGGAATGAATAGATCAAACCTAAGAAGAGTTGGTGATGTGATAGGCGTAGATTTTTAAAAAGGAACAATAATCAGAACTTTGAAAGATGGCGAAACGGTCCAATGCCTGAAGCTACTCGGGGATTTCTAATCCTCCTTGAGCCTAAGATATTTGCTCAGTCTTAAGAATGTTGGCCTCTGGTTGGATAGACGATTTCAAGAATCATGCAACTTGGCAGCATCTTTAATGGAAAGTTGGAAACCTATGCCAATTACAATCTGAACCACATTCTTGCGCTTTAGTTGAAATGAAGTGTGGTCCAAGGTTCAAAATATGATACACCTACTATGCTGGTAGAGGCGTATTAGGCTGTGTCGGTAGTTTTTTTTTTAGGTTTTACTTATTTTTTTTTTCCAAAACCGGTTCAGAGGGGTTGGTTTAAGGCCCGGTTACCTTCTGAACCAATGGCTGACCCAATATAACCCCTGAAAGGGCATATCGGAAAGCCATGGACACGATATGTATCGGCCAATACGAGCTGATATGTATCAATACTTTGAACCTTGGTGTGGTCATCGCTTTATTTGCTTTATTTCTTGTTCAAGCAGCAAGGTGCATGCTATTTACAATCTATATGAGCAACATCCAAATTGATAGAAACATAAGAACATCTTTTAGATGTTAAATTTTCAAAATGTTTTGGTTGTCTTTTTTAAATTCGACAAATCTTCTCAAACCCCATGAAATCTCTTCTCTCTCTACATGAAGACTGCAATCCTTTTAATTTTACTATTTTACATTATTTCAATATCAACTTGACGGGAACAACTCAGAAATTATTAGGGTGTTGGGATTTGGGTGAAAGTGGAATCTCGGATCCTCTATTTTCTTCATTCTGATTTCTACAAATTGGTGCCAAAAGAACAACTGGGCAGAATCAAGAAAGTGGTAGATTTTTGGTGGGGATGGGAGTTGAGTTGCAGCTTATTTGGAGAGGGCTACCCCCCATTGTTAATCCCATGAAGCCGAAAAACAAAATGAAAGATTTACAAGATTTACGAACTTCTGCACTCGGGCCCCTTTCAAATCTTAGTACTGTCTTCTCCCAATTTTTCTACTTCACATGAATCATTCTGCCGAGAGGTTTTCAGGTTTCAATTTTCCATGAATTCTCCTCGTGATTTGGAGAGAAGTGGGGAATGAGAACAGAGAATCTTAAGCTATTGTATAACAATTTTGGTTTGTTATTTCTGTATGTATATCATTCTCAATGATATCCTTGTTCTTTACTTCTTTTGAACATCTTGTCAGGCAGTAAACTGGATCATATGCTGCTGCTACTAGATTAAAAAAAGTTCCCTATTTGGATCATGTAAGGAAGCTTAATATATGATTCCAAATTTTGCCATTTGGAGGAATCCTGTGACCAACCGGAACCATCCATCGGGTGGTGGACCTTTTGAATTGGCCAAATTATTCACTACTTTGGTTTATATAACTACATTAGCCCTATTCTCCACCTTGTATTAGAGTATGGCCATAGGTTATCTAAATTCTCAATACTCCGATGGGATCCGGTATATTAATGCTGGTGTGAATGCATAAAAAATATTCTAATTTAAAATGTGATCCTAAGAAAGAGCTTATTTTAGGCTTTTTTAGCCATGTTACAGAAGGATGTTAAACTAAAAATGTACACCATGGATGGAGTAAGCCAAAAGGAACATGTGAGGTTCAACAGTCAGACTGACAGACTGACACCTGGAAGTTCCTAGGTTGTTTAGACTCCTTCAAGACTTCTCAATGGATGCAGTTATTACAGGATGGTAGTAATGGCAGTAGACTATGAGCCCATCAACCCTTGGGCAGTGGATCACAGAGGAGTGGCCCCCCAGGTCAAGGAGCTTAGTTTGAATAGGGAAGACAATCCATCACCTCACCCCAACATGGTCAACCCAAGTTTCCAGGAGTATAGTACTCGGCTTCTTTTGCTCATTGCTATAGTCAATAATCAAATTTATAACGCCTATGTTACAAATGACAACTAAATATACAAGAACCTGGTACAGGCAGCAATTATTATGTAGAATATTAAAATAGAATGGAATAAAGAATTTCAGCATCCCTTTGGCCTGTAGTACTCTGGGGGAAGTGATGGACATCTCTCATTCATGTGGGGGTACAGATCCATGGTATTGTATCCTGGTAGCTCCATCCGATATTCCCCTTTAATTTGGCAGAAAGGAAGCTTCACGTTATCACCTTCATTGCACCATTTGGGAAGGCGGCTTGAATTATTCTCAAAAAATTTGAGGGTATATGCATCTTTTATCTGCAATTGGATAAACAAGCAGATGAAATAAATAGCGGGTGTTACTTGCTGAAATTTTACTTTCCAATAGTCCATAATTACTCTACCATAAACATCATTAATCTCTAAAAACTCAACACTATAGAAAACAGTGAAATAAGGTACTTCGTTACCCTTTTTCTCAACCTTCCCCTCTATGTATTATACAATTGGACTAATCTACTGGTAATGAAGTAGCTTATATTTATTAGTTATTCTATCCTTTACCCATGAATGCAGAATGGAAGTCTTGCAAGAGGGGGGGGNGGGGGGGGGGCTGAGTGCATGCATTCTAAACCATTGTTTCAATGTCTATCCTGACAGTGCAAGATGGTGAATTGTCTTGTACAAGTTCCATAAAAGATTAGGGGTCACCGAGTTATATTGGGTGAACATACTGTGAATTCTGTAACTTGAATGGAGCTGGCAATTGGATCAAACAATCCTGCATGCTTATACATTTCAAGAATGAAGGCAACACATGAAGTTGATTTTCCATCGCTATAAATCCAATCGTCCTGTTCAGGAATTGTCAGCAGTTTATCGAAAGATAATCCACGCCTTTCAGTTTCAACTAATATTTCTGGAAGATCAAGACCCTATACAGAACACAAAATCATTTGGTTCAGTTCTCCAGATAAAAAATCATTATATAATGTGCCATAAACTCATAAACAAGCTTGAAATTGAACCCTAGCAACATGATATCCAGCCTGCATTTGGTTTTCCCAGAAATGTCTTGGAGAATTTCTGCCCATCTTGTATCTCACAATTTGACTGATCAGGAATGAAGTCAAAAGCGAAATGACTTGCCAAAATCAGGGGGCATGGTCGCATGGATCACATTTTTGATCCACAAATCCAATAGTTGCCCCCTACACAAGGGTACAATACCATAATGCTTACTACCATGGTTGTGCTATGAAAACAAGGATGATCAATGTGGAATAAGCTATCTATTGAAATTGGAAGCAGAGGGCTACCTACTTAAGCAGAGAAAGAGAAGCACGATGAAACACTTCTTTCCCTGCATTGTTGATAAGCATAACTAATAATAGACAAGTATTAAAAAACATTCCTCCAAATTGATTATTCAAATACAAATAATTGCCAAACCAGAATAGAAATTGGAAGTTCTTAGCAGAAAAGTTATCTGAGTTATTCCTTCATGAATACATAGTTCATAGAAATTGCAGGAAAATTGCACATACATATAAGTATTCTCTTAGAAGTATGAGAGGATAAGGTGGGGTGTGTAGACAACCACTATTTAATGAAGCTCACCTAAAGATATCAAGAACAACCAATGGGTGATTTCAAGTAGGGATTGTACTAGGAGGGTTCTAAAGGAGGCAATGGATGTGGCCCATGCCTGGTTGAAGCTGTCATGTTTGGTCCAATCCAGGTCAGAGATAGTAAAGCCAGTTAGTTAACATTTGGCCTTGTATTTCATAAACATGACCTGGGTTGAAGTCATTCCCAATGCATATTTATCTAAGACTTTCTTAAAGTGAAACTATATAAAGGATATACAAAATGAGTAAGTAAATAAATAAATAAAAATATAGCATAGTTACAAAAATGAGTACATACTCATAGCCATCCTAGCGCCAGGATAGGCCTATATGTCAGGCCAGTCCAATCCTTGTAGACCCCATATTACGCAGAGCTTGGTATTCAGGTTCATTTTGTCATGGTATTTTTTTAGAAACTCAGCCTGGTGTTTTTTAAAAGTTAAAACTGACTTCTCTTAAAAGTAAAACCCAAAAAAACTTCTCTATAGATGGTTTAGATTCTATTTATTGGAAAGTAAAATGAAACAAGTTTACAAGCACTGGTTTCTCTTTTCAGAAAAGTAATCAAGGTGTATATTGTAAGAACTAGCTATGTCTGCAAGATGTGTTTGAAAAGATTTTTTTTTTATTTTTTTTCTTCTGGAAGCAACTTTTATTGTTTCCAAAAACAAAGCTATTTTCTTGAAAGTTGTCACGCACACTTGCACAGAACTACAAACACCTTTCCATGAACATCAAAAGGGGATCGTTTCCAAATCCATGAAAGACAGAATGAACCACATATTAGACACACCCTTAGTTGGATAAAAATGCCAACCGACACAGCCCAATATATCAATGTTTTCTCAAGTTTTTAGTCTATAATTGATTGCAGAAAATATACAAGATCATAGATGATATAAATCATGGAATCACAATGACTTTTCATTGTAGAAGATCTTGTTTGGTGATAATGTTGTCAAAATCTTATGATTTACAATACAATTCATGATTTGAATCATGAATCCCAAGGGTTTCAATTCAAGTTATATGTCTGAATATTTTTCTAGATTTTTGTTTGAATTTATTTATAAATCTTACGATCTATACATCACCATCATCATCATCATCATCCATGCCTTATCCCAACTATATGGGGTTGGCTACATGAATCCTGTTTTGCCAACATGCTCTACTTAAAACCATATCCACTGTTAAATTATTAGTGCCTAAATCATTTCTTACTACTACTACCCCAGTCCTTTTTGGTCTACCCCCTAGCTCTTCTAGCCCCTTCAACTTGTAACAAATCACTTCTTCTAACTGGAACAATTAGTGGTCTTCTATGCATGTGACTAAACCATCTTAGTCTACTCTCTCATTTTATCACCTATTGGAGCTATTCCTAGGTTCCTACAAATGACTTCATTTCTAATCCTATCATTTCTAGTTTTTCCACTCATCCATCTTAGCATTCGCATTTCTGTCACACTCCCCAACACCTCCATAAAACATAGCTGGCCTTACAACTGTTTTATAGAATTTTCCTTTTAATTTAAGTGGTATCCACCTATCACATAAAAGTCCAGATGCACCCCTCCATTTTGCCTATCCTGTTCTAATTCTTTGGATGACATCCTCCTCAATCTCTCCCTTGCTATGAATTATTGAACCAAGGTACCGGAAATGGTTACATTGAATTATGTCTTGGTCTCAAATCCTAATCGTATAAATCTACTCCATTCACTACAATTCATTTTTTTTTATAAGTAATTCACTACGATTCAAATCAATTCAATTAAGAATTAGTTCTCTACTTTATCATTTTGTCTTCCCTTTATGACTTGTTTTAAACACCTTACTACAAGTTGATTTATTTACATTATTTAAGACCATATATTGAGTTTATTTTCCATCATATGTTGGATAAAGAGCCATTTTATGTGGACTATTTGACTTTCAAGTCAAACTTGATTATATAATCTTAGATTTCTATTGTGTAAGTATTCTATTACTTTAGGTACAATATGGTAAACATGGATTAAAAAATAGGGTAGAATCACTGTATATATTTAATTTTTGGGTATGTATCTATATTTATTTTAGGTACATATCTATGTTTAATTTTTTGACAAGTTTGTAAAGAGTAGAAATAATCTTACGATTTACAATATGATTCATGATTCAATTTGATTCGATTCCACTTTCTGAATGGTTTACAATATGACTACAATTTTCAGAACATTATGGTGGGTTGAAGACCCTGCATGTGCTATGCCATTGAGGAATTAATTAAATGCTCGATCTACCATTTTTCACAGCATATAATTCTGCACACGTGCCAGTTCAATGATCACTCGAGTAATAACAAAGTTTTATTAGTAAAGATCTGGACAACAAAATAGAAAATATATTCTTAAGATACCTCGGTCCCAAGCCGCTTGTTCAAGGCTTCATTCCACATGTTAGCAGCATATTCCGGTTTCATTTGATTCCATATGGTCATAACTGAAGCAACCTGAATGAACAACACAAATTGCACTCAGAACAAATGAATTGAATGATTTACCTCTTATAATGCCCAAATGCCTGGTTCATAATATGTTATATCATGAACTTATATAATATAGTTCATTTAATTTATCTGAGAAACAAAGAAACCATATCAATATGTCCGTTCTATTTTGCTAAGGCTCAGTTTGGAAGGAGTACAAATACATATGGAGAGTGCAAAGCCTTGTATTTTGTATTTTTTGTATGTATTTGTACTCCTTCCAAACTGAGCCTAAATTGCAAAACATGAGAAGTAAATAACTGGAAATCTTCATAATAATAATAAGACAATTCCTGTCCCAGGTTTTGAATTCCATGAATTAATTCACGACTTGACTTTTCACTAAGTCAAGGGTCACATGGTTTTCTTTCCCAATTTAATCAAATTGTAGTTCATCACTGTTCTGCATGATACGCATAGGTTTCTGCTAGTAACAAATCATTCAAAGTAAGGAGAAAATAAAATTCTTTCCTAAATTCCATCTTAATAGGACATTGGTTGAAGTAGTAAGAAATGCTTTAAGCACTCATAATTTAACATGGATAGCACTGAACAGAACGAAATGGCAAAACAGGCTTCATGTATCCAACCTCATATAGTTGGGAAATGGCGAAATTCCATCCTAGCGTTTTTTTTAATCTCAATAACTTTATCAGAAAATCCTTTTTATTTCTCTTTTCCTGCCTTAAATTTCTATTTTTTAATGATATAAATCTCCTATACAATCCATAACACAATTATGTCAGTACTGTAGAGGAAGAACACAGAAGAATCTTTGATGATGCACAAGATTTGTTTAACAAATATTTCAGAGGTAACTGCAACTTAATTATATGTCTTCTAAGGTTGAACTCCCACCTGGTGTTCACTAATTATCAGATTTTATTAAGCACCTCCAGGAAAAATTTGGGCTTGGATGCAATCCCTCATAAGGTCAACAACCAGGTCACTTGCTTTAAGTTTTGAAACAGAATAATCCTACATACTTGAACCGTGTTTTGAGGATAAAAATTATAAACCATAAATTAAATCTAATAATAATAGAGAAATTAAAATCACAGGGAAAAACGTCAATTTTATATTCCAACAAACTTAGGGGCTGTTTGATAACAGCTGAACTGGTTGAAATGGAGACTTATCCAATGGCCCTTTAATCTGAAAAACAAATATCACAAAAAAAAGGAAAAAAATAACCAAGAAAAGAAATACCAAATGAGCATCAATGGGTGGAGGGTAGTTCCCGTATGTTGTGTCTATCCAGCTAAATATCATGTTATGGAAACCATATGGTTTCCCTGCCATGCTTCTTGCATATTCCCAAGCAGCTGATTCATTAAACTTGGCTCGGAGGTCAGGGTGTAAAGGAAGCAATGCGATATGAGGATTGGTATCATCTTTTGTCAGTTCATATTCCCACCATTCATCCCATGGCAACACAGCAATGATATCTTCCCCCTGCGATAAAAATGAAAGAACCTCTTCAACATTGTCTCCCAATTGATATTTCATAGAGTTGTCCCTTTAACTAAATAATTGAACAGTTTGCATAAAGACAGATATATAACAGAAATTCAGCTTTCCCTCAACATTAAAAAAGGAGCTTATCCAACTTGGTACTGGATTGCAAGTATTTATGTTACCCTTAAATCATATACAATCATATTTTTCATACATTATAAGCAAATCATTACTTTGTGAATAGATGCTTTCTTCCTAGGTTGCACATATGCTAGTAAAGTAAACAGGAGTCAACCATGTAATAGTTCAAACTGCATAATAATCTCTAATTAATTCCAACAAAATACAGATAAAAGATGATGGATGACAAAGCCATGTTTGTCCCCACTTGAATATTGACCATAGGTAAAGTGGCCAAAGAATACCATTCCAATCTGGTGATGCTATGTTGCATCAGTATGGGTGTGAGTAACAAAATGCAGTATGTTCATGGACTGTTGGACACATAAACTTGATATGTGCATGTAGCATCTTTCACATTAATACAATATAACTAATGGAGTAATTGGATCTTATCATATAAAGTATAGAACTATAGATAGATTGTAGTTCCATCAAAATACCAGTCACCTGATCATCATTTGTGAAACATGCCAATAAAAATATGACCTTGTTTTTGGCCAAGATACGTTTCACCTCTGTACAAGAAGATGATAATGTTCCACTGTGATTATAAGATAGAAACAATATATGAGTTTATTAATTCTCTTTAAAGATGCACATCTAAAGAGAACTTCCAAGACTGTAGTAGAAGTAGAGCACAGCCAAACAACATTGTTTCTAGCTCTCATCTATCAACTCTTTCAACATCAGAACTGATGTTTGAAATAATCTTAGAACAGGAATGAATACAAAAAAATAAAAATAAAAATAAAAGCAGCAATAATGGTAACAGAAACTGAATTGTGAGATCAATACTACTCAAACATGAAGGATTTCCAAATAGGAACTAGCACTTTGATCCTTAAAAGTGAAGTGTTTGACATGGGTGTGGCAGAGAATAACAACTATGAAGCTTCTAAGAAATTTGAGTTAAAAAACTGAGATGTCATCTGACACTGAGTAATTTATATGATCTTACCTTTTCATTTTCATGTCCAGATTCTCCAACCCAAAGTTTACCTTCAGAATCCTTCAAACAAACAGCAGTATGACCAGCGTAAGATCCAGTAACCCACTTCTCTAATGTCTCAAAACCACCCCATAGCCCTCGAATTTTTGATATTGCTAAGAAATCTCCTGAGTGAATGTCATCAACACTTGTGTTTGTAACCCAAGGCTGAGGACGCTGTGCAAAGGAGGCCTTCATATGCTTCTTGAGAAATGCAAGGTTTGCATTTTCACCCCATCCAGTATTTGAAAACAATGGGAAGACATCCCAGAGAGCTTGAAGGGTTCCTAGCATCCCTGATTCCATAAGGAATATAGAGACCCCATTATGTTTCACCTGATTTCAGGAAAAATAAAAAGACAACTCTAGACATAAGAACATGTTTCACAAATAAATTGGAACAGGTAATTTCTTAGCAAATGGAAAAGTGACAACTCACATATTCGAGCTCGGCTTTTCCCTTCCACATCTTGAACTCAAATGTATGCTCCCGAGCAAGGAAGTAGTAATCCCATGTTACACGGTATGGAGTAGAAAAAATGTAGATATCCATACACGTCCAACTATGAGCTTTGCTAGTCTGGATGAAAAAGCAGAAATAATATTGAAGTTGTCAGATATATGTTTGTATCTGTGATCATCAAACATATATCAATTACATGATACTTTTTACTACATGTTGACTTAAACCAGCTTGAAATCTGTGATCATCAACCATTGCAACAAACACGTATCCTTTTTTTTTTTATCAATTACACGACTTTACTAGAAACACAAAAACACTGCCATACATGTAAATAACAAAGGAAAATAAAAGAGAAAGAGCTCATCAAACATGTATATGTGAGATTGTTAACCCATTGCCAATACCTAACATGAAAATGAATATGTATGTGTGATTTGACCATCAGTTTTGATTCTCCTGTTGTTTGGAACACTATGCAAGAACACCAAATGCATCTTTTTTGTTTTTTTGCTGGACAAGCACCAAATGCATCTAGGGAACTAGATTTTTTTGTACAATTATGCCACTAGAGATAGTAGAGAATACACAAGTATCTGAAATTAACCATGCAATTAAAACTCACATAGTCAAAACTATAATAAAATTAGAATATTCCCAAGATTTATAAGTACAATAGAACTAACATAACAAACATCTCGATAGTATCAAATTAGAGAAGAAAAGATGGGTTCCTTCAGATTGCAGTAAACATAGGAAGAATCAGAAGCTAACTAAACGCTGATAAGCAGCAGTCTGAATCCTCTAAAATTAGTTAAAATTGTCCAACACTACCAAAAAAAAAAAAAAGAGACCACGACAGTTAATTTTCCACTAGAATTGCAAGAGATTAAAAGCAGAGCAGGGACTAGGGGCTGCGTGGCATAACTGTTAAAAAAGAAGCCTAAGACACATTGATACTTAACCATTCATGGATGAAAGATCCCGGATAGAAATATAAAACCAGTTCCACCAAAATTATCTGGAAACTTCCAAGCATTTAAAACACACACAAGCACAACGCTCCAAATCCTCCAAACTAGAACTCTGAACAATTCCAAATAATAAGCTTTCTAAACAACAGAAAACAACACAAGTGAGAAGTGACCAATAAAGGATGAAGAGCAGAAAATATAACAGTTAAATTATTGATAAAATCAAGAGAAGAAGAAAACAGTTCTGTGGGATTAAATTAGGTAGAATTGTTTAGGAGCGAGATTACTCAGATATCAAGTTCTCCAAAACTTGTCCAGAATCTTCCAATGTTGAACAAATTTGAATAAGTACTCTTAAGAGAAGAAAACCCAGAATACTGATTCTTGTTTACCTTGATATGAAGTGTCCCTCCACCAAATTCACTGCCGCTCTTGTTGTGGAATTCCATCCAAGCACTGTTCTTATAAAAGCAAGCGCCCTTCCACTCCACAGTACTGTTAGATGATGAGGCAGCACCAACGAAAGTGGGGAGAAGATCAACAGCATTTCGGAGAGAGTTGAGAATTGGCCAAGAAACCTGTCTGGGTAATAAGGGAAGAATGTCATATGGGTAAAACGGTGCTTTCCAAGCATACCCATGTGAGAAAGCCAAAGAGAACAGAAGAGAAAAGATGAGATAACGCTCCTTGAAAGCAGGGCAAAGCAAAGAGCCCATGAATTGAGAACAGAAGACTTTCAGAGAAGGAGAGAAGAGAGAAGGCTGGAGTCTGGAGTCTGGAGTCTGGAGTCTGGAGTCTGGAGTAGAGATGATGTCTTCAATTGAATCTCCATCTCTAATATTTAATTAACTTCTTAAAAGGACGAAAATATCCTCCAGCGTATAATTAGTCTGGAGTCTGTTTAGATCGAAGTTTGACATTAATAAAAGAAAAAACCGTCCTTTACTCAATTCTTGCCGGATCTGATAAAACTTGATTGATCTTCAGCGTATAATTAGCAGATTTCGGGCAGTATGTTTTCTCAGCTCGTCTGGTTTAACAATCTATGGCTTCATTCACAAGTCACAACAGAGCGCCAAGTGCTTCACTTGGAACATGGAATCTGAAGCCAAAGCCAAAGAATATACCCAGATCCCAATTCTGATGAGCGGGCGTTTAACACGAAGTAGAAGAACAGCCCGAGCCCACATCCAGAGTTTAACTGTGTTGCCTGTTAATCCATTATTCACATTGAACTGAACCTACGAAAACGAGGGACAATAGAAGACTTTCGTGGTGTATACGTATCTCTAATTACGGTCAGGAATTATAATCTTGTCGTTTCTTCTTAAAATCTTGGCTGCAATCTGTCTCGAGTCTTGACTGATCTACGACTTACGAGTTACGAATACGACCGAGACCATGGCGTCAATTGCCTATTTCGGACTGTTAGCTGAACGTGATGGATGTGTAGCGGGCCGTGGAACGAATTATAGTGCCCCCACACCTGGGCCCAGCCCACAGTCATATGTTAAATGGTTGTGGGTCCTATGACTGGTGTGGCAGGTGTGGAGTGTTATCATTGATTTCAATGCATCCTGATAATTTACGTGGTGTTTGACAAGTGTCTTTGGAGTTTTTAAAAGCTTGGAAGATTAAGGCCCAGTTTGCGGTGTATCTTTTCATGAGGGCTATCGGTTGTTTAAGAGCCCAGTTTCATCTTTTCCCATTTAGTTAAGAAAAAATTTAGCTGTGAAAAGATGCACCTCTAACCAAATGTTTTATAAACTGTTAAGACTTGCCAAGCAATACCTAAAACTTGATATTTCTCTGCTTTACAATGAAAAATAATAAGGAACCAATAAGACCTATGCAAAAATTTGGAAGCTTCCAATAAAGCCTCGAGAAATTTCCAAACGGCACTTTAGATGAATCAATTGATAATATATTCTATTGTTTAAAGGTGGTTTTCATAACCATTTAAATATACCTTGAAACATGAGCCCACATGACACAACTAGAAGAACCCCATTGGAATACCACATGCCCATAAAATATTAGGTTTCCATAACCCCGGTTTTACTTTTACGCCTCCCTCCCCGGTAGGAAATACGGTTTATCTTTTTTCTTGCAAATCAAACATTAGAGTCAGACCGTTTAAGAGGGATTTGAGAAGTGACGCTGAACGGCGTCAATTGTTCATGGGAGTGCAAGTTTCAAGTGCTCAATTTACATAATTAGAGTTAGAGGGGCCCTTGCGAATTGCGATGCATGGGAAAATCCGCCTGAATTTATGATTCGTACACCATTCATTCCTGTTGGCAATGATGGCATTAGGGCTGTCGATGGATCATTATTATTTTACCGTTCGAACTGAATCAATTTTCTCAGTTTTGGTATAATTTTGTCCCATGGGTCAATTTGGTTTTTGCCTATTCAAACCAGAACCAATAATTATATATATGTACTAGCATGGGCTTTATTAAAATAATTTAAGCAAAAGAGCTAGGGGTGTAAATTGCTTGTATCGATTAATAGTTTAATCTCAAATAAACTGAACCAACTCATGAACACTTCTAATTTTAGCAAAACTAATAGTTTAATCTCAAATAATTATTGAAATTTTTTTATTAAATAACAAAACTAAAATAGATCTGTACATAATTATTGAAAACATGTTTATCACAAAATTATAATAAATAATTACTAAAAATATAATAAATAAAAATTTTATTATATATAAATATATATTAAAATTTTAAAATTATTATTAATAAATATCAATTTTCTAAAATTTATTTGCTAGAATTATTAATTGATATAAGTGAAATAATTCTTTTATTATTAGTACATTAATAATTGAAATTATTACTACATTTTTTATATTTTTAATATCTATAAAAATATTTAAAAAAATATTACTATATTTTTCATTATTTCAATAATATTTAAAAAATTTCATATTATTATTACCAAATATTATTAAATCTATTATAATTATTTTTGTGTTTTTGATAAATTTTTTAAGGTTATGACATAATTTCTTTATTTAATCTATTTTATTTGTTTTTAAATAATATTTACAATATGATTTAGTTATTTTTTTAATATTTAATATATTTAAAATTAGTTATTCACAATATTATTTATCTATTTAAATAATATCATTATTTAGTTATTTCAATATTACGTATTTTTTGAATTTCATAATCCATAAAATTATGAGTTATACTATTATTACATAATTTCGTTATTAATTTTATAAAATATAAAATTATTATTAATTCAAATATTATGAAATCTATTATAACAATTTTCTACTTTTAATAAAATTTTTAAGTTTATTACATAATTTCGTTATTTTAAATATTTAAAATTTAGTTGTGTTAAATATTTTGTTATTTAAATATTTTAAGTAAATTGTAAAATATTTAAAATTTTGTATTCTTTAAGTTTTATTTATTTTTAAGTTTTACATAATATTAATTATTTTGCTAATAATATTTAGCTATTTTTTTTATATTTTGTTATTGAAAATTTTAAATAATATATATTTTATTAATTTTTAATTTTTATTATTTGAATCATTTTTAAATTGAATAATTTGTAAAATTATAATTTATATTGTTAGTATATAATTTTGTTATGAATTTCATAAAAGTAAAAATATTAATATTTCGAATATTATTAAATCTATGATAATTTTTTTGTATTTTTAATAAATATTTTAAAGTTATTATATAATTTAATTATAATATTTAAATAATTCTTAATTTTTTTAATTCAATTTTTCTTTTGATAGATATAGAAGAAAAGTGGGGGATAGGATAAATAGGAATTATGGATAATTTATGAGAAAGTGGGTGATAGTGGTTGCACTTGGCTATATTAGATTAGATTTTGGTAGAGATATATTTTAGGAATGGATATCAAAAGAGATAAACATAGAGGAAAGACGGATGGGCCTGGGATGTCAAAATGAGAGAGGGAGAAGGGAGTGATGAGGTGGCTTCATGAGGGAGCAAGGAAGGCTAAAATGAATAGGGGATGAGAGTTTTGGTAGGGGTAAGGGAGAAAGCTCAGGCCATGATGTGGCATGTTTCTACTTTAGAATATATATATATATATATATATATATGTGTGTGTGTGTGTGTGTAATTTGCACGTCACAATTTTTTATCATAATGATGATGATAGTAAATAATATGTTTTCAAAATTTTCTATAATTTTTTTCTTATTTATCACACTTGTTTTTGTTTAATATGATAAATATACAATATTAGAGATATGCCCAAATGTCTTCTACATTTTTTTTATTTGTAGTTTTTTATACTTTTGTTTGTTTTCATCATTTTTAATTTTTATTATTATATAATTATGACAGCAAGGGTTACACATTTACCTGAAAGGTTGAATTGTTGACTTGCTACCAAATAGGAAAACAATTCTGTTTTGGGTTGGTTTTAAATTTATATTTTATTTCTATTATCAATAAAACAATTCTTCTTTGGCACACTTATTTTTTTTTTAATATGGTTAATTAATATAAGAGTTAACTAGTGGGGACCCGTGCGATGCACGGGATTTATTAAGCAAAAGATAAAGAATAGAAAGGGTCATTTACTAACATACCCTTATAGTTTCATGGATTTACTAAAATCTACCAAATAGTTAGCATTTTACTAAAACACCACTTATAATCTGCAACGGATTTAATCAATCTTCCATTAGATGATAGTGGAAAATGATAGTTGATGGAGGACGGTTTGACCCGACCTATGAAACGACGACACGTGGACATTGACTCAGCGCAAGCAACAACTCAACATTATAGCCTAGTGACGGGCCCATAAAGTAGCTCGCTACATTGTAGCCCGAAACAGGAGAAGCTCGCCACAACGCGAACTCCGGGTTCCCCGAGCTACCTTTGAAGGGACGCCCCAAGGCAACTTTAGCTCACAAATGAGTCGCCTGGCCTACACCTCCTCCCCAGGGTTAAGGCACCCCGAGCTGCCTTCGAGCTCGGGGTCCTCTGACCTTTCCTAATACCCGAGATCCTCCCAGTGGGTCTCGGGTCACTCTTAGACAGGAACACACCGATTCGCTGATAGGTACCCCGAGGTGAAGACACCTCGGGCTAGATAGCTCGGGCTAGACTGCTACAAGCAGCTCGTCGCTTACAAGATAGCCCAACACAGGGTAGCTCGGCATGTCACAGGAGGATCTCCTGCCCGACCATCATACCCGACAAATCTGGGGACAACAGCCATGTCCCTCATCAGACAACGCCGTGCCTGTCACCTTTAGAGGGTGCCTTACACCCGACAGGCACATACCCTGCGGTGACGGCCCCGCGCGTGCCACCTCAGCCCTGCCAGTAACGGCTG